CACGTGCCGGTTGAGCGTTCGCGTTGAGCCATTCTTTCCTGGGAGCAGAACCCCAGCCTGGCTGAGAGGGGCCGCTCCCCCGCCTGATGCTGACGTCCCACCCAACCCTGCCCGACAGCAGCTCCTGCCCGCACTCTGCGACCCCGGCAGAGCCAATTTTCGCTCATCGTGTTAATGCGATGTACGTCCGCTGGCGCTGCGGGTCCCAGGGCTCGAACTCTCCTCTACCTCCCCAGGCGTGCTACATCGTGAGCGCCGGGCTCAACGTGGTGAACGCTGTGCTCGGACCCAGGACCCGTAAGTGCTGGCACCCTCCTTTGCCTCTGCTCCTGTGTGACCCCCCCCGCACTTAGGGTTGGTTGGTTTTTTTACATTGTGTAAATACAAATATTTTAGCAACTTCCTAAAGACACAGCTCTCTGTTCGAGCACAACATCCCGTTTCCCTTGCCCCAGAGCAGCAACAGATAGTTTTTCCTGCAGAAAGCCACTTCAGGAACTGTTGCTTTTAGAAACAACATTTTTGCTGTAAAATAGTGCTTTCTAGCGGCTTGTCCAGCTGGGAATGCCGTGAGCAGGAGCTGCCGTTGGTTCCGATATCTCTTGAGACCGAGGGATTTGGGAGCATCCCCCTCCCGTTGCAGCTTAAAAGCTTTCCTCCCTGTGTCCCACAGTTGCGCTCCCGCTCCAGGCTTTGGGAGAGCTGCCCCCCTTTTCCATCATCAGCGGCGATGCTATCCAGCTGGATCTAAACGTAAGTGCCACCGCTTCCCCTGGCCCAGAAACCTCTGACTTGGTGAGTTTGGGTAATTCAGCTGAATGTGGTGGCCATCTGCTGAAGGCTCCTCTCATTCCAGCTGTCTTCAGGAAAGCGTTCGCTGGAAGGTACTGACGAGCGTGGTCCGGCCATGTCTGTGCTAATGCCACCACTGGATCTTTACCTTATTTTTTTATTTGCTAATCCTTGAGGGTACCATGAGCCAGGTTGGCTTGACACTGCTTAATTAAGCATAATTACAGCATTCTCATACTTGTTAATCACAAAAGCTTAATTTCATACAGGAGCAGTGGCTGCCGTTCACAAGCCACTTCGTACAAAAGCCACTTCCATTTAGAAGTGGTTTGTAAAAGTTTGGTGTGTAACTGATAGGGATCCTGATCAGGGCAAAAATATTGGCGATGTGTCTGTCTGATGGGGAGACGTGACGGAGCTTTAAAGGCAAAGCTGTAGCAAATGCAGCCACTGCCTGTGCTAGAACAGCCTGAAGCAGCCGCGTGCTTATCAACGTGTCGATTAACCCCACGTGAGCCTCTCCGCGAGGTCCATGGGCGGGTAGGATGCCCGGTGTGACCGCAGCCCTCCGAGCCCCGCCAACGTCCTCCCCCTGCTCTGTCCCCTGCAGCTCCTCCTCGGGGACGCGGAGGGCGGCGTGGTGGCCTCCACCCGGGGATTGCCACTCGCCACCACCCTGCTGCTGACCACCGGCCACCCACCGCGGCTTGGCCTCTCCCGGCGCACCCTCGGTGTCCTGCTGGAGACGGTCTGGGAGCAAGGAGCCTTCAACCTCAACATCACCAACTCGATGGTGGGTTGCCACGCCTCTCTCCAGGGCTGGGTCAGGGTCCTGGTTGCTCTTGGGTGACCCAAGGGTGCTCGCCACCGCATGCTTATATTTCTCTGTGGGTGGATCTTGCACAAACCCTCCCACCCACCGACGCCACTGGTGCTGTTCCCACAGGTGCCTGATAGCATCTCGCTGTCCACATCTGCCCTCCGCCCGCTTATCCCCCAGGTCAGCCACCTCCTTCGCGTGCATTGATCTCCTGCCCAACCACCCACCCCAGCCACGCAAAGACCCCCTTTCCCTGACCTCCCCCTGCCCCGTGCAGCTCGCCAAGATCCTCCCCGGCTCTCTGCCGCTGGAGCTGCACGTGTGGGTGGCCAGGGAGCCAGTGGTGGCCGTGAGGGACCGAAGAGCCACTGCCACCCTCAAAGCCTCCATCGACGTCTTCAGGCCCCCACCGCAGTCCTCCCAGGAGCCCCTCTTCTCCCTCGATACGGTGAGTGGGCTGCCGGGGGATGAGACCTCCAGAACAGGGCGAGGGGGGAGACTGGATGTTCTCAGGCATCCCTTCGGCTTGTCCTGCCCTGAGCCGTGGAGTACTTGTACTTTTGAATTTACTACATCTTCAAAATGGTGGTGACCAGTCCTTTGAAAATGCTCATAACCAGGCGCAAGTGAAATGTTTAAGGAATACTACAAAAATAAAGACAGGAAAGGTGAACCCTGGGGAAACGATGCCAGCCATCACAAAAATGCGGTTTCTAGGAACAGATAGGTGGTTTTTTTTCAGAATGAGTTATTTACAAATACTCTGGGTTTTCTTTCCAGTCTTGGGAGCTAAGCGGGGAATAACCTCATTTCTTCCATTGTTCCCATTTCAGGACATCGTTCTGAACATCATCCCATCGGTCTCTGACGGCAAACTGCGAACCTCCCTGGCTCTCGACAGGTAGAGCCGAGCTTCGCGGTCGCTGCGGGCAGGGGAGGGCTCTGCCTGGGGACGCTCCCGGGAGCCCGACCAGGTGGGGCTGGTGGCAGCGATCGGGGAGTGCAGTGTGGACGTGGTAGAGATGTAAAGGGCTGCCGGAGCTTTCCTGTCTCCTCCCAGCCCCAACCTCAGACCGAGTGCATGTCTGAAGTCATGACAGAGTTGTAAAAAGGTTGCCCTCTTTTCAAAATCTTTCTATCTTTATGTGGGTGAGACAAATTCTGGATCAAGAACGAGTCTGAGCAGTGTATGGTAAGCTGGAGGAGGGCTGCACTCGATGCACCCCAACTCTGCTTTGTTTTTATCTTTTGTAGCATCAACCTGACACGGGCAGCCCCGAGACTCGACCCTCTCAGTGTAAGTGCACACTGCTTTGGATCGAGGCGCTGCAGCGAGCTTTTCCAGAGGCTCTGTGTAGGTAAGGAGAATCAAAATGCCAATTCTTCTTCAGTCTTAATGTTCCTTCTTCTCTTGGCAGAGGCCAATTGTTGTCTGTCCTGTCGATCCCCTATGCCCTATAGCAGTGCCACTTGGATGTATGTGTTCGCTTGTTGGCAGGGCACTGGGGGTGCTGGGAAGGGAGGAGGAATAATCAAGAAGAAATTACCCGAAGACCATGTCCCTGTGTATCCCCCCACCCTCAGTCTGGGAAGAGTTTCACTGAAGGAAGCTTCCCAGCCTTTGCGTTTCGTGGCTCTGAGCATCCTGCAGTGACAGAACTTAACTGCTAAGCCAGCCGTTGCTGTTTTCATCTCCATAACTGTTGCTCTCTTCAGACACTGACACGCGTCTTCTTCCCCTGCAGCTCTCTCCGCTTGCCAGATGGCTAAACGTATGCCTTGTGGCCCCCCCCCCTCCCCGCCGTTAACGGTACGGCCGGGGTCTGGGGCCCCTCTTCTCTCAAACTCAGCCGGATTTGGGGCTCTCCCCCTTCCTTCCCTGCCTGCGTTCGGGGTTCCCCCCCATGATGAGATGCTTTCACTTGCTTTTGCAGATGCCTTGCGCGTGTCAGTCCCCCTGCCCAACATTCTCAACACCAGCCTCGGGAACGCCAAGATTGACATCGCCGACGTAAGGATCGCATTTCCCACAGCGCTGCCTTCCCGGGAAGCGTGGGATGTGCCCACCCGGGGCAGGGACCTGCGGAGCCCAAAGCCCTGCGCCGCCCCAGTCATCCCCATTTCCCATGGGCTGCTCCCCGTTTCCAGGAGATCCCTCTGCCTGTGTGGGCTCACAGGAAAACCTCACCTGGGATATAGGGAAAAGCTGGTGAAAGTCCGAATGAGAAAACTGAATGTTTTTTGTGCTGCTTCTCCCAGGTAGATGACTCTCCCGACCAGACCGCTCTGAAAAGATCCTGCTCGGGAGGACTCTCAGCCCTGCTCGCCGTCTGAGGCAGGCAAGGCACCGCGAGCCCCAGAGCCCTGCTCGTCTCTGCTGTCTCCATCTTCATTTCCCCTTGGAGGGGGGAATTTCCCCTTGTGCTATTGCTGTGGCCCAAGGGGGACAGGCGACCGTCTCTGGTCAACTGGTCCTGGTGTAGCCTGGCATCGGGGG